GCTTCACACTTACACACAAGAGATTGCGGAGTCTAGCACGCGAATGTATCCTGTGAAGCGCTCGCGCGGGAGTCGAACCCGCAGGGGGCTCCACACATTGGTGGGCGGCTCCCCATTCCTGCCCGTAGGGAGCGAGCGTGTCGTCCGGAGTGTCCCCCTTACTCCGGACGCTGTCATTTAACGCCGTACAGTGGCGGGTCGCGGTTTCAACTCAACTCAACTCAACTCAACTCAACTAGGCCTGGACCGGGCCGGTCCAGCGCGCTTCCAGCTGTCGCGCATGCTGGAAATCGGCTGTATAGCGCTGCTCCGTCTCGCGCGCTGCCTGCTTCAGCAGGCGCAGGTTGGCGGCCAGGTCCGGCTCAAGGTTAGTCGCACTGAGGAACTGCTTGATTATCCTCTTGCGCTCATGCGGTGTAGTGTAGAGCGGCCGGAGCAGACGGACGTGGTCCAGCGTCTTGAAGCGGGTCAGCAGCACATACAGGGTGGCGCGCTTGATGCCGTTGGGTGGGACAGCGAGATCCACCAGCCAGCACTCGTCTTTGAAGCTGCGGCCTTGCACGAAGTAATCGGTGACCGCCTGGCGGTCGCCGAGCGGCACGTTGAGGCGCCGGATCTGCTTTGTGATGGTGCCATACCCGGCGGCAGGCATCTCCACCTCGGCAATGCAAGACGCCCGGGGTGACAGGATGAAGGCACCACCCCTGCTGGCGTAGTCTCCAAGGCCCTGCAGCACGGTGCCGGGGATGTGGCCGCTTATAGGCCGCACAATGACGGCCGCTGGAAGGTACTTGAGCCTGCGGTAGGGGCCACGGCCGTCATCTGCTGGCTCGCGGCCATCCTCAAGCAGGCTGCAGGCTTCCACCTCGTTGTTGTGGCTCGCCCCGGCATCGGCAGCTGTCGTATCAAGGAGGATGTATCGGGCGCCATGGTAGTACCACGGTGGTCCAGGCTGTTCATGCCAATCTCGTCAATGATGAGCGCACCATCGCCGACATTACGATGCACCTGTAGGCTGGCTGCGCTGCCTTTCCTGACGCTGTCCGCTCGGTTGCTGCCAGCAGATAGGGCGAACATGGCGTGGGTAGAGAGGCTGCGATGTACCGGCGTGCTGAAGGCAGTTGCAGCAGCCCATGAGTAGGCGCAGGTGGCCGCCCAGTGCGGGCAGCCATGCTGGAAGGTGTACCACAGGAGCGCTTGTACGAACTGGCTCTTTCCGGTACCGGGCTTGCCCTCCACAAGCATCTGCAGTGGGTCGCCAGGGTTGGGCTCATCATGGCGATCGAAGTACCGAGCCATGAGCATGAAGGGCACGGCCTGGTGGGGGGCAAGTGTGAACAGCTCGATGGTGTCGTCGATGCTGGGTGGCTGGGGGAGGTGCACATAGATGGGCATGCGAACCTGTTCAGTCCGCTCAGGAGTGCCAGGCATGCACACGATGGCGACCAGGGGTCCGCTGGTGGGGCGGTGCAGCTCGACATGAGGGGTATCCATCTCAGGTGTGGCCGTCAGTCCCGCGTGGGCGCCCCCATCTGCCTCAACAGTGCCGGCTGCTGCTGCAACGAGATACCGCTTCAGACGCTTTGTTGCTTCAGTCAGGAGGGGCAGGTCCGCTGGTGTGATCCGACGGCTGAAACGATCGCTGCCTGCACCATGGCCGTCCGCTAAGGTCGGGGCTCGGCAGCGTCGTGCTGCATCATAGGCATACATGCCAGCAGCGTTGGTGCAGTCAAACAGGTCCGTAAGAGCGACGGCGGCGAGGTCGGTGCCAGCCGTCGGATACTCCTGACCTGGGATGTACACGAAGTGCTCCAGCTGGTCCTCGGCAGGCGGCTGTGTTTCAGGATCAGGCCTGAGATGCCCGCGGATGCCGTCATGGGCATCTCCATCCGAAGCGCTCGTGCTGTCACCTTCAGGCAGCGCGGCTGCTGCCGCTGCTGCACGCTGCTGGCGGCGCCGTTGGTTGTACTCCGCCTGACGGCGGGCTTTCCCAGCGTGGTTCTCTTCGATGTTGTCCAGCAGCACCGATACATACACCTGGTACGAGCGACCTGCCTCGGTAGTGCCCAGCTCTGCCCACCAGGCGTCGTAGGCTTCCTTTACAGTCAGCCCGGTGGGGATGGGCTGACCCCGGTGAGCCTTGAAAGTACCCAGGACAAACGCGTAGTACTGCGCCATGCCCGCAGCAGAGGTGCCAGGGCGGGGCCGGCGGGGAAGAGAGCCTCCAAGCTGTACGTAACGCGGCCGCGGCAGGCGGACGTGGACATGTGTTCTGTAGAGCGGATGCGTGCCGTGGAAGGCCACCAGGCGGGGCAGCTCCGTGGCTGTCTGAGACGTTGGCTGGTCGAGTGTCGCTGCAGCTGTAGGAGCAGGTGGCTCAGGGGGAGGGGCCGGGGCTGCAGTCAGCAGAGGCACAGGGGCAGGCACAGGGGCGGTTATGGGTGTGGCTGGGGTAGTGCGCTTACGGCGTCGAACTGCCACCGGGATCTGTAGGCCCAATCGCTCTCGGTGCGGGTGCTGAGCTGGCGGCACACGTCGGACCTCATAGTTGGAGGAGATGTTGTACACGCTGCAATCCAGGCCGCTGAGTTCTTCCCCGCGCAGCATGTAGCTCTGCACGGCGTTGGTCACTGTGTAGCCCTCCTGCTCCTCAGCCTCCACCAGTACCGCCGCTGTGGTCGCCGCCTCAGGAGATTGCTCAGCGCCCGCAGATAGCGCTGTGAACGCGTCTACCTGCAGGTATGCGCACTCGAACGTCGCCTCGAAGGTGGAATGACCGTCCAGCTTCATGGCGACAAGCGCCATACCAGCCGTAATGGAAGCGGTCATGCGATGCACGGTGGCACACATGTTGCCAAACGCAGTGGGCCCACTGGCACCCGGATTCGGCATCCTTCCAGCTAGCAGAAAATCCTGCACTCGGGTAAGAGCGTTGCATGTCAGCTGCGCCTGGCTGTCGTTGATGCTCTTGCCAGTGTACTTCGTGCTGTAGTAGGCAGAGTCGCGGGCGCGGTCAGCAGCAGGCTGCAGTAGCGCACAGTCCCCCTGTTGCTCTTCAGGGCGGGCCAGTTGCGCTGCTGCCTCTGCCGTGTAGACGCGATCCACCTCGCACG